TGTCGCGGCAAGAGAACAGGAGCCGCGACTTTGGGTGGCGAGTTGGTACGTTTCCGGAAGGAAATCCGCGACCTGGCATCAGACGACAGCGACTCACTTGATGACCTGGAACATCAGAACTTGATTCAGAAAAACTTATTAAGATAATTGTATTTGAGGAACAGTATTTGTGGATTGTTCAGAAAAAAAGGGAAAGGGTACTTTGTTAAAGGCCCGGCATTATAAAAACTCTGGAGATTTAAGATTCTTATGAAGCATCGGATGGAGAACTGGGTAATTGGATGTAAGCTTGAATTCCGAACAAAATTTCTACAACTGTGATGAACCAAGTCCACCATTGACCCTTACGAGCGATCAAAGTTCAAGCATGACTTAATTGCTTCCCCATTTAGCGTCAGCAACATTTTCTGATTGTGGAAAAAAATGCTGTTTCGAGAGCGTTATGGCAAACCTCGTGCTCTCCGAATATGATGTCGAGTTCCTTGGTGAAGTTATGTGCACAATCGACTTCTGATTGATGCTTACCGAAGACTTTTTTCTGTTTTGGTTGTTTAATGGGAATTGGCAAAACCTGAAAATAGTCCAAAACTGGCGAATATAATGCAAATACTTTTAGAACTAGTTAATTTTTAGCATACAGACCTTGTGAAATGAAACGCTGGAGGCTCTTCTGTCACTCTCCTTGAGCCGATCTTGCCCTCTGTAGACGGCTGCCTCGATTCCTGACCAAATCATGGTTTTATGCAATCAATCCTACCACCACTCCCACCACAATAATACTATTGAATAAACATTATAAATGTCATCACGCACCATCCAAAGCCTCGAGCATAGGTGGTGATGCGGCTTTGACAGAGTCGCTTGGTGGACCGCCTTGGTAATGATGAGTCGCGCGCTCGCCATCGTATTTCTGCTCATAGTAAAGCGCATGTCAAGACATTAGCAAACAGTGCTTTAAAGTACTATGTATCCCACTCACTGAGAATGATCCAGTCACTGAAGCAGCTAAGCGTCGTGCTAGCACAGCACTAACGCCGGCCCTTGGTTTTATCTGGATATCTTCCTTTGGTCGGACTAAGCCTTCCGGTGGGCTTTCTTCGAACTGGAAACATTCAGAGATTAGTATAAAGTGATTTTATCGGAATCAATGCAGGTAAGAGATCTCGTCCGCGTCATGGCCGCAGTAGCGGACTTAGCAAGCGGTATTGCATGCGCGGCATACAGCAGCGATCAAAGTTCGGATACTTTCTTATTTTTGACATAGCGCGGTAAATAAACAACAAAGTGGTCTAAAGTTGGCAAATGTTATACAAAATCAATGATGGGTCTTGCAAGTCTCTATAACGGGAGATTTTAAAGGAAAAGCAAATTTTTTTTGAAGAAATTGCCAGTCAGAAAAAATTTGAAATTCAAATTTGAAAACTCTTTGTTCACCTCATCACTTTCAAAGTGATACACGAATGGCACAATACCATTACAGCAATCTTGAATGCAAAGTTAATCGGGGGTATAGTGGTGAAATTCTGGTCAAAAGAACGTGTTGTGGTCATGAAAAAGCAAGTTTTATTATATTTCTCTGCTATGGACGTCAAAATTATTTTTGACGTGGTTATGTTAAAGACATCAGCTCTTTTTATAATTACATGGATATGAGAATGCGAAGAAAGCAAAGACATCAGGGTGTTGAAGTGTGTAAAAGGCAGAAATGGTGTCACCCCAAAGAAGCCAATCGAAGTCTAGAGGACCGGGGCTCCGTTCAGCTGATGTGTGTTTTGTACTTCTCGAGATCTGGCCACCCATCCCACACTTGACCCGGTCTCTCCAGGCGGTTCCCTAGGAGCTAGGGATTTTCGTGACAGACAGACACCGTGACACACACACAGACATAGCGCATTACATATAGTAGCATCATGCTATGCAAATAAAAGCCAAAAAAAAATCTAGAAGGAATAACAAACTACTGGAATAGTATCTGTTGACTGCACTGCCTACAATGTGCGGCGACGAAAATGCTGTTGAACGAAGTGCAGAGCAGGTACGGGACAAATTGGAAGTTTCTGGGATAGCCCGACGTGAAACTCGCTTAGTTCCCACTTCCGACATTGCACGTGTTAGCAGGAAGGCTAAGGTGTCAAAGGATAGAGCCAGGGATTCCCATGAACGATTTCTTTAATGCTTTGTTTGGTGAAACGAGTTTTACTAGGTGAATTATCAGGGTAAGTTGCTGATCAGTGTTTGTGAACTAAAAAAAAATTCCAGAAGCTGTGCACAAAGTCTTTCTAATACTTTCCTACAGTGGTCTAGTGTCTGCTTAATTTATCACATCAGCTCCAGACATACATCAAAAGTGAATGAAAATGAAGGAGATTTCTCCATGGACTTTGGCTGAAGGCGACAGATGAAAGATGAAGGTTTAGAGCTTACTAACGACACTACTGAGCTCAATTTACAATATTCTGATGGTACAGATTAAAGGGGGCGAGACTGGAAGTTTCTGACGACAAAACTGTCTTTTTTTCTTAATTCAGAAGAGCCCATTATAACATGTCAAAGCCAGGAACAGCGGTTCTGCGATGAGCTTTGGTGATAATATTCAATTCTCAGTTTAGTTCTAGGTGACACGGTGACGCAGCGGCAAGAAATCGAGGACGAAGAGGGCGCGACTCGCGCAGGGTCCGGGGTTCGAATTCCGAATTTTGTCCTTCCTATGCTAATGAAACCTCTGCAGCTCATAGTAACTTCTTGAGGCAAAGGTTGCTGCACAGAAGAACATAATTAGATTTATTCTTTCAAATTCTTAGTCTAAGGGTGGAGTGTTTTTCTCTCTGCAACAGATCAAGAGATTAACATACTGATTCTCCACACTCGCAGCGCCTTTCAGTAACAACTATTCACTCCGAGGGGCTGGTAGGTTTACGATTACCAGACAGTGGTCCAATCTCACAAACCCCTTCAGGCTCCACGTCTCGCTTTAGATGGCCGCGTCGGTTCATGAGAGCCCTATGTCAGTTGTTTTTTGGGTAGCTCTTTGCTATTGTGATGAAGGTCTCGGAAGCTAAGCGGCTCGCCAATGATCTCCATTTTCATTGAGCGATTCATCATCCGTCTGTGCCGTGATCAAAAATTTAAGAATACCTTTGGGCAACCCTGTTGTCCAGCGAATATCCCATTGCTTTTTACCCTTTTTTAGGATTCCAACACGCTTTATAAATTGACCTGTTTAGAATCGTCTCAGTTTGGTGAAGTCGTCAAGCACAGGAGCTCTTCAATTCGCGACATCAGCCCCCTATGTGAGTTCGCATACCTAATTTCTATTCAAATCAATGTAAGGGTGCTACTTCCAGCATTCGCTTGAAATGATTGGCAGCGGGAAGCATCCAGAATTGAAAATACCATTACTGTTACTAAGCGACAGTAGATGTGTAGTTGTCCCATGGACATCGTTGGCTCCATCGATGAGCGAATACCCTCTTCGCCATTCTTGAAATATTCACTATTGTTAACTGCCACAACAGTTAGGCAATTGTCTCCAAAAGCATTGTAGTGATTGTTCAACCTATGTCCCCTAATGGGAAAAGCTGGGATTGCATGCGTCGTTACTTATTGTTTAATTATTACATTGCGTAAGACAAGCATTAGAAACCAATTCAACACACAGTGAGAAAAATAATGAGTCATTTCAATTATTGAGATGGGATTTCAGGTGAATCTCAAATAACTAGGATATTTTGTGACTTAGAAGTTTAGTAGAATTATTTATTACATGATAGACATCGGTAAAAGCGATTTTACTTGGTTCGAAACAAACCATTTGTAGATTACAATTCTTCCTACTATTTTTCAAAAATAGAAATCGAATGAAATGAAATGCGAAAATTCTAAGCGAACGTTGCAGTATAATGAAGCAGAAGAATCCTCGGACTCTCTTACCGATGACTTTGACGAGCCACCGCCTTCTCTCGATCTTGTCGTATGCGAAACTTCAACATTACAAAAAGAAGTGAGTATGCTCATCGTTCATTTCACATCTTACGCCCACTAATTAAAAATATAATATTAAAGGACGAATTCACGATCAGAGGGAAAATCGAATTAGGAAGAATTCACCTGGTTGAGGGACCCGCGGAGCTCCTAAGTGTGCGAACTGAAGCACAATTTGCACAGGAGGAGTTGACCTCGTTGACCTATTAAGGTTTAATCCCGCCGCGGCTGGTCAGTGCACGCCCACCGATCATCTGATCACTCGCCGCAGGTCTATACGTGGTGAGTGATTAGATAGGTGAGAGAGCGTAGCGTTGAAGAGGGCACAGCGATGATAGTCGCATCAATGCTCAAATCAACGGGCAAGGAAGTGGTCCCATTTCTCAGGTTCTGGGCCGTTTCGCATGGTTTTTCCTTCTTTAGTGTACCACTCACCATCGCTAACTTAATTTGAAATGGGTTGCCTTTCCAGCGTGAATTCGTCCTTTAATTGATAACATCAGCCGTCGAGAAAGTATGTCTGCTAGGTCCCTTGGTGGTAATACGACGAGGCTGGTCACCGCGCGCATGCCGTGAGGGCTCATCCTTGCCGCAGACTGGTCGTTAGGTACCCTCTAGTTCGAAAAACGAAAAGGCGTCGAGTGTAGACCACACGCCACAGGTGACGACGGCCCGGAAAAAAATGTTGGCTTTTCGACAATCCACACTCCAATAAGAATCTCATCATACAATTTAATTTATTTCACAAGTGTGGCTTTTACTTAAGCATCCTTAAATAATGATAATAATTAATGATTATTTCAGGATGCTAAATAAAAGCCACACTTGTGAATAAATCAATGTGTATTGATGAGGATTCTTATTGAGTGTTGAATGTCTGAACATGCCAGAGGTATTTGTTGTGCCTAGAACTTCAGTCAAAGTCATTACCTCG